CTTAGATGAATAGGGGGGTGCATGACTTGTCTGGTTTCTGATTTTTTTTTTCTTGTATTATACCGATTGGCTCAAATGCTTGTGATCTGACACGTTTCCGTCCCTTCTGTGGAATGTGGCTGGGCTATATTGAGGTTTTGAACGACAGCAACGACACAACTTTCCTATTCCTGTTTAAAAAGTCATTATATATACATTTGTGGAGAAAGTTGAGTAATTTATCAGACTTACTTCATTTCCATTTTCTTTCAGTTTTCTGGCGTTCTTTTGTCCTATGGTGCAGGTTGGCCTTATTTAAGTGCTCGAGAATTTGTAGCTAACGAGTCACGTTCGAATCCGCGCGATAACACAAAATATTCTCAGCACTTTAAATTGTGTGTGTACGTTATAAGAGAGACAGTCAATTCTTTAGTATTGATGGTCCTGCTGACTGGTTGCCTTCCCTCTTGTCAGTAGCTCAAAATTAGGGACGGCGTCAGATATTCTTCATAGCTTTGTCATAAATGCAAGTATTTTTTATTCTACTTATTTCGTGGTTGTCTTTTTGTGGTTGTTCCATGCCGACCGCTTATTGTTCTGATACTTCTAGTGCTCTCTCTCTCTATGTTTAAAAGCCGTATGCAAATTTCAATAATTTGAAACAACACTTCTTTATTCAAACTTTGAAAATTACACCGTTGTGCCATCCGTTGTAAGCTTGTATGGAAATGATCTGTTGTTCGTTTGCAAACTTGTGAAACTTGCTGAATTTTAACTCTGTGTTGTTTTTTCAGTAACGAAGTATATCTGTAGCCGGGATATAGCTTTGGCGCCATTATCGTTACTTGGTAGTGTTTCAAAGACGTCGTTTCCTTCTAAAGCTACGAGAAAGTTTTCAAATCGACTTACTCAAATTGTCTACCATGATAGCAATAGCATAGAATCAGAATCCACTTCGAATGATGGGAATGCTTAGAAAGACAGTTTAGATGCTAGAAGTCGTCAAAAGTGATTATGACATAATAGTGACAGTTTAGATGCTAGATGTTGTCAAAAGTGATTATGACATAATAGTGACAGTTTAGATGATAGAAGTCGTCAAAAGTGATTATGACATAATAGTGACAGTTTAGATGATAGAAGTCGTCAAAAGTGATTATGACATAATAGTGACAGTTTAGATGATAGAAGTCGTCAAAAGTGATTATGACATAATAGTGACAGTTTAGATGCTAGAAGTCGTAAAAAGTGATTATGACATAATAGTGACAGTTTAGATGCTAGAAGTTGTCAAAGTTGATTATGACATAATAGTGACAGTTTTGATGCTAAAAGTTGTCAAAAGTGATTATGACATAATAGTGACAGTTTAGATGATAGAAGTCGTCAAAGTTGATTATGACATAATAGTGACAGTTTGATGCTAGAAGTTGTCAAAAGTGATTATGACATAATTATGACAGTTTGATGCTAGAAGTTGTCAAAGTTGATTATGACATAATAGTAACAGTTCAGATGCTAGAGGTCGTCAAAGTTGATTATGACATAATAGTGACAGTTTGATGCTAGAAGTTGTCAAAAGTGATTATGACATAATAGTGACAGTTTGATGCTAGAAGTTGTCAAAGTTGATTATGACATAATAGTGACAGTTTTGATGCTAAAAGTTGTCAAAGTTGATTATGACATAATATTGACAGTTTTGATGCTAAAAGTTGTCAAAAGTGATTATGACATAATAGTGACAGTTTAGATGCTAGAAGTTGTCAAAGTTGATTATGACATAATAGTGACAGTTTGATGCTAGAAGTTGTCAAAGTTGATTATGACATAATAGTGACAGTTTGATGCTAGAAGTTGTCAAAGTTGATTATGACATAACAGTCCTTACTTTTATTCCTTCTTTCTACCATTTTTCTTGCTTCACTCCTCGTCTTTTGTAAAGTCTGATGGCTTTTTCTTTACAGCGAAATAATTACTCGAGATTCCGAGCGTTCGTTTACACATTTATTCTCTGACACAGACAGCCCATGACTGTTTATGAACTTTGATCTCCAAACAGTGCCAACGACACACGATTAAGCATGCGCTGTAGACAATAGAAACTCTTTTAGTTGTAATCATATCACAAATAATGACGGATGTTTATATAGAGGATTTTCTTTCAGATATTTATTTAAGGCAACAATGGTAAGGTTTTTTATTCCAGAAATTTTTTTACAATTATCTAATCCAAATATTGATGATATGGATATCATGGATATAGTTAAAGGCTAGAGGAATTTTAGCATTGGCCAAAGCACGTGCTCTATTTTAGTTATGAAGTCCTGTCTGAAAATGGTTGTCAGCGCGTAGTCCAGGTAATCTGGCACCATTCCTGATTCCTACCACAAGTAGACATTTGGTCGGCAGCAGCATAATACTATTTTCTATGTATAATATTTTGTTATTTATTACGTAAACCATATGCTTCTTATATTTTAAACATAATATAGTTTTATTTAATGTTTTTTTATTTTTAAAACAGTGAACAGGTATTTTGCTTAACAGTAACCAGGCCTAACAATAACACTGTTTTTATTTTACAGTATTCTCAGACGTTAATGTCTTATCCATTAACGAATAAGCCTATTAAGTTACTGTCTGCTGTTTACACTACCTCATTTTTGTAATGTTCCATATGTTTATACCACACAATTTTTGTTCATGTAATTAGTCCGGAAAAAGCTACAGATGTTTATTCCATATAGTTTTATTACAGACAAGTTAAATTCAAAACTATATATAGCTATAATATATATTGCAGACAGCAAAGTAAAAACTTTTAAAGCCTAACAAGTGTGTTGGAATGTAATGTTGTACTTCACATAGCCTAAAAAGTGGAAAAAAGTTTCATCACAATTTTTTTTATATCCGAACAGCTTTATTTCTGAATCACTTACATAAACGGTTCTCAAACTATATTAACCCAAGGACCACTTTTAATTAAAAATGTTTTCGCGGACCACCAAACCTATCGATATTCTTTGTTTTGGAAGAAAAAAAAGATTCCATGTACATGGAAAGCTGTATTCTAAAATTAAATGTTTTAATTCATATAAATTTAATTTTATGAAAAATATTTTTTATTTTATACTTCACATTTGTTATGAAATTTCGGACATGATTCGCGGATCCCAATTTGCAAATTGTTGACTTAAATGTTTCACAAGATGATAGTTTCTCAGTCTAAAAGTAAACTATTAAACGTTGTAAGGTTTAATAAGTTACCAGAAACTAGAGTATGCAAAGAACGGTTATCCAGGTTTACTCTACTATGTAAGAAAAACCAAATTATGATAAAATAGAAATAAGTTAATAAGGTAATGAAATACGTACGCAATTGCACGCTGGACAGACATCGTCCTATAGCCAAAAGTTATGTCGAACGCATAGTGTAATTAGTGGGAATATCGTTTAAAAAGAATAGCTGTTATAAACGCTCAATACATTTTACGACCTAAGCTGGAACAATAGTATACAATACTGCGTCATTGTGTCTGATATTTATATTTAAAAAGGAGAAATTTAAACCTAGAATACTAACAGTGACTTAAATATGGTCTCATTTAACTTTAAGGAAAAACACTTTAGTAAATATCTGGTTATCATTTAGCTTACTTATAATCATTAAAAAGTCCATGGATACTTTGTCATGTTGTAACATTCTGCAGGTTATCACATTATCTATATTGATGGAATTCATTAGATAACACTCATGGTTTTTTCGGAACCGATTACATTAAAAACAACAACACTGAATTAGTATATTAACAGAAAAACAATGAAGATCATGCTTCGTGTATATATTAGAATTATTTTATGGAAGTTTCCAAATCTGTCAGTGCTAGAATAGTCTTCTGTATTAAGAAATATCACTACATGCAATTGCCGAAGAGACTGAATTAAATTTTGTTTGTCTATAAACAATTATTACGTAGTATGTCTGTATTTCCAATCAAGTTCCGTATAAAATTCATTATTCTGTACTATTGTGAATTAGATAGACTTATCATTTTCATTATTCTATAGTGAAGAGAATATACCCTATACTGCGCTATAGTTTTAAATTTTTTTCTTTCCAACAATATTAATCCGTCAATTGACATCTAAAGAATGCTCATGCGAGGTCCTAGTCAGTAGATATGTGATATACATATCACAGAAAAGTGTCATTATCCTAGTCAGTAGATATGTGATATACATATGACACTTTTCTGTGATTAATCCTAGTCAGTTGATATGTGATATACATGTCACATTTTCTGTGATTAGTCCTAGTCAGTAGATATGTGATTTACATATGACACTTTTCTGTGATTAGTCCTAGTCAGTAGATATGTGATTTACATATGACACTTTTCTGTGATTAG